TTCCTTCCTTCCTTCCTTCCTTCCTTCCTTCCTTCCTTCCTTCCTTCCTTCCTTCCTTCCTTCCTTCCTTCCTTCCTTCTTCCTCGTCTTCTTCCCTCCCTTTTCCCTCCCTCTCTCCCTTTCCTTTTCTTTCCCTCTCTCCCTCCCTCTCACACTCTCTTTCTCTCTCTCTTTATTTCTTTTTCTTCTTTCCTTTCTTAATGCTGTTGGGCCTGGGCACAGGACCTTGTACTTGCCTGGCAGGCATTCTACCACTTGAGCTATACCTCCAGCTGTCCTAGTTATTTCTATCAAAAGATCAGATACCTAAAAGTGGTGAGATGAAACAAATCTTCCTCCATTCCACTTCTCCCTTTGGAAGATAGAAGCATTTCTAAATAAAATCAGACCTTTTCTATTTAAAAATACACTTGGTTTTCCCACATTGCCTGTCTTAACTGGAAAGTTGGATAGTACTGGGCAGTTGGCTCTTTTCTCTTTCCCTTTTAATAATAGGTTCAGCTTTGGTTCAGCTTTGTTTCAGCTAACACATTCAAAGCCTTTGTGGATTGTGTAACATTAGCTACTAATTTATTTTTTATTTATTTCCATTGCAATCTCTTTTTAATTAGGCACCTCAAACCTTGGGGCATCTAGTAGCTACTTACTTGCAGACAGTCTCCTGCCTGTCACATGGTTACTGATTTCATAAGAAATACAAAATATGGTTGGTTAAGCCCACGGGCTTAGGGATGGGGAGAGCCTATAGTGGAATTTTACTCTTTCTCCAACAGGCCTCTGACTTCATAACAGCATTTGCAGGCATCTGCTTACTCTCTTCAGGCATAAAGGGCATATGAGTGGACCATTCTGTAAATGATCTTTCAGCACATCAGTTTGCTCCAATGGACTGGAAAGAATTCTATCTTAATTCATGGTCTGAATTCCACTAGAAGGCTTTGCTAGCTGCCAGTTCTCCTCACTCAGACATAGGGCTCTTGACATTTCTGGTCTGATATGATGCATGGTGCTTCAGCAAACTGGTAGAGGATGGAAACTGTCTATAAGACTGGTGTCAGACTGAGAGTCTGTTCTACCGTAATCCAGTCTCCAAGTATGACTAATCAGAGATGTTGCTTCCTGACTCTTTTTATAACAGACTTACATCATCAAGGGGTCTCCATCCTTTCCAATACCCCAAGAGTAGCACAGAACCTGACATACAGTAAGTGCTCAGTAAATCTTGAGGTATTGATTATTAAAAAAATAACTGCTACCAATTACCAATTGTCAATTCATATAGCATTGCCAAAGACCTAGTTTTATCATCTTTATTCCTTTTGTTTAATGGGAGCATTACACACTGACTGGCTTTGTACCCAAGGAGACTGCATCCATCATCTTACCCTAACTTAGGGTTGGTGAAAGTTGTCAGAGGAAAAGAAAGTTGTAATAGCATCTATGTGACTTGGCAGGAATAATTCTGACTCAGAATCACATTTTGGTATTCAAATATAAAGGCAGACTATATTAGATATTGGCTATTCATATACATAAGAGTGCCTTGAAGTCAGGAAAGAATGAAATCCATCTTTTGAGTTGGGTCCAGAGAAACGCACACACTTGAGCCTTCCTTAATTTTAGTCAGAAGAGTTCTTTGCAGTAAGTTCTTCCCATGTTTTCCAGAGTCCAGCACTGAGCATAATATGTAGAAAGCAGCATTATATAACAGAATTCATAAAGCTTTGGAATCCTAGCATTCAGAGTTCAAATTCCACTTCTCTCTTATGAACTCTGGGACCTTGGACAACACTTGAGCCTCTCTAATTCTCACTTTCTTTCTTTGATCTGGAAAATCATGTAAATGATTCCCTTAATGGAGATATGTTCTATAGAGAGCATGACTTTTAGCATATACTACTAAAATGGTTGGACTGAATGTCACTTGATCATGCCATATGTTAAAACTTAAACCTCAAGAGGCTGTTATGAAGAATTAGAGCCTTTGGAAAATGATTAGGTTATGGACAGTCTTCTGTTACATATGGGAAGAATGTCTGGATAAAACAGACTTCAGAGAGTTGCCTAGTCCCTTCACTTCTTCAACCACGTGAAGAAGATAGGGTTGCAACAAGGCACTATCTGAAAGCAGCAACACCAGACATGGAATCTACTGGTACCTTGATCTCAAACTACCCAATTCCAGATCTGTGAGAAATAAATGTTCACTATATACTACCCACAATCATGTATTTTGTTATCATAGACCAAAATAAACCAAGACAAGATCCTGTAGATTATGCTTACCATTCAGTTTATTCTGCAGTCAGATCTCTTCACAGACAAAATCTATCATTTTGAAAGCTATGCGAGCTGAGATGACCCCATTATAGGGCTGATGCAATGTTCTCTCAAAGAATTATTGATCCAAGAATGTGAAACCAGGATAGGTCTTTAACCATTCCATATCTGCTTCATTAAAATAAAGGTCAGTAGGACAATATTTGCTTTCAACCCATTTGAACCATAGTAAGATTTATCTTTGCCCTTCAGAATAGCATTATTTTCTCAGCTTGGGGCTATAAAAGTTGCCATGGTTATTTTGAGAGTATATTACTGACTCAGCGCTAAATTGGGAACTTTGATTTGGTTGAGTGATAAATCAATGAACCACAGTTTACGTTAGCTCTACTGCCTAAAATATTCAATTGGAAGTCTGGAAACAATAATTTCTTTTCTGGTGTCATATTTTTGCAGTTTTATTTTTACTAGTCAACCTCTGCCTTTACCAATCCTGTCTATTTCATAGGCTTGTTCGCAAGTGCATGGTCAAAGATTTAATGTGTTCCGTGGCACCTATGAAACCTGTGGCTCTGTGACAGAACACTCAAACATCAGAAAATTGTTTTGCAGCTGCCCAGGGACAGCAACTTCTACTAATATGCTAGCATGCATGTTCTGTTGTTCAAAGCATTCACAACTTTCTCAAAAGTGGCAATTCTGATGATAGCATAGTTTGCAGGAAAGCCTGAAAAGTAGTAGTGTAAAACTAATTTGGCAATTTTAATCAAAATAGATAGTTAGCACCTAGAAAAATTATCCTAAGCTAATTATTAGCTCTATATAAAGATATTTATTATGTCATTAAGTTTAATGGTGACGTTTGAAAACATTCTACCACCCAACAATCAGGGCTTAATGAAGTGAGACACACCCATTCAATGGACTTCCAATGAAAAATTATTTGATTCTTTCTATATTGAGAGGATCAGTTTCCTCTTCTCATCTTATTGGGATGTTAGGAGTCATATCCTCCCATTTCCCAAGAAAATATTTGCCCTCCCCTTGTCTGGGAATCTCTAATGGTGTGTAGATTACAGCTGAGAGAAACTAGTATATTACAAAGGGATCACACAGATGGGAGTTGTTCTGTGCATTCCACTGACTACATACACATCTAATAGGACAGGATGACAGGCACTAAATCATAGATAGTAGTTATCTTGGAGGATTTTATTGGATAAAAGGTCTGTTTTTAATGATTGCTTTTTTATTTTTATTGTTTCTGGCTTTTGTTTGTTTCATTTTGTTTTGAAGGTACTAGGGTTTGAACACAGGGCTTCATACTTGCTTAAGCAGATCTTCAACCATGCCTTCAGCCTTGTTTTTCTTCTCTTTTCTTTCTTTTTTTTTTTTTTTGGGTCCGGTCGTGGGGCCTGAACTCTGGGCCTGGGCGCTGTCCCTCAGCTCTTCAGGTCAGGGCTAGCACTCTACCACTTGAGCTACAGCGCCACTTCCGGCTTTTTTCCTTTTTGCTTATGTGGTGCTGAGGCATCGAACCCAGGGCCTCATGCATGCAAGGCAAGAGCTCTACCACTGAGCCACCTTCCCAGCCCCAGCCCTTGTTTTTCTTATGAAATTAATTATTTTTTGTTTTGTTTATGGGAACTAAGAATATGAGTTGACACTTTCCAGGCTTTCTTCATTTTTCTAGCCAAGAAAAAAAAATCTCGGAAACCTATGCATCTTAGGAATATTTTAGTTTTAGGCAATGCTTGAGATTTAGATTCAATAAATGACTTAGGAGAACAAACAACATAGTCTATAACTCCTGGATGTTCTGTAAAAGTTTTACAAACAACTATATGATTGTGAGAATCAGGTCAGACTCTGGCCTACAGAGGACAATTAATGGTAGAGAAGTGCAATGGCTGATTTATTCATCAATCTATCCACTCATCTATTCATCCATCCCTCCACCCATCTATCCTTCCATTACTCTGTTCAACAACCATCCACTAGATACTCGCTGCATATGAGCTCCTTAAGAACTGGTGCATTGGAAGTGGCGCTGTAGCTCAAGTGGTAGAGCGCTCGCCTTGAGCTGAAGAGCTGAGGGACAGCGCCCAGGCCCAGAGTTCAAGCCCCACGACCGACAAAAAAAAAAAGAACTGGTGCGCTGCTTATTCCTGTATCCCTTACACTGTCTAGCATAATAAACATAAAGTAGGTACTAAAAAAAAAATCTGTGAGGTCAACAAACTCATTCTTGATCTCAAAGATCTAAGCTTGTTAGTGAGTAAAACTATACATTTGCTAATGCAATTACCAACACAAAAATAATCTTGTAAAAGTTTTCTCATCTAATATATATATTTTATTTTTAAATTTTTTTCTGTTGCTTGTGGGATTTTGAACTCAGAGCCTGGGTGCTGTCCCTAAGCTTTTTCGCTCAAGGCTAGTGTTCTACCACTTGGAACCACAGCTCCATTTCTGGTTTTCTGGTGGTTAATTTGGAGATAAGAGTTTCATGGATTTTCCTGTCTGGGCTAGCTTCAAATTGTGATCCTCATATCTCAGCCTCCTGAGTAGCTAGTATTACAAATGTGAGCCATCAGTGCCCAGCTTAATTTATGTTTCTTTAACTCAATTTCATTTTGTGGGCCTCTTGAATGAAGGAGAAAACCTCCCAGTTTGCAAAGTCCCTAAGCCAAAGAACAAACTTTACACTTTAAGACACAAGACTAATTGTTTATTGAGTGTGTTCTATAAGTTGAAGAGGGGATTTTTTTGGCAAATAAATAAATAAATAAACAAATAGACACCTTAGAAGGAGAACAGGAAGAGGAAGAAAGCGGAGTCTTTGCATAGTTCTAAATGAACAGAAGGTGGTAGCATAGGCAACGTGGATTCTCAGCAGAAGTGCAGCACTTGCAAAAACCAAAGACAAGAGGCTTTGAGAAAGAGGAGAAGGTCAGGTGACTACCTATTTCTTTTTCACAGAGACTGTGGTGTGGACCAGTCGTCCTCTCTATCAGAGGGGCGGGATGCAGCATCTCACATGATCTGCCTGGGCATCCCGTAGCCGGTCATGCCCGCCTGGGAGGCCCCCTTGTTGCTGCCCATCTGCAGCCCTATTACATTCTGTCCCTGGCGAAGCTGCTCCTCAGAAAATCCTCTCCGATTCTGCTGGGCTTTCCTGTACAGAAAGAGCAAAAGGGAACAATCCCATGTGATTATTTTCGAAATAAACATTCAGACAGTCTGAAACTGAGGTCACCAACAGGCCCTACCCTGACCTATGACCCTATTTTGACCTATGATCTTAACCTTAGCTCTGGTCTTACACTGATCTGTAACCCTACCCTCAAATGCAGCTTAACCTATGACCTATGCTGTGGCTTACCCTGACCTATGACTACTCTAGGCTGTGGCCTACTCTAAGCTGATGTCTAGGCTAAACAGAGCCTACCATGATGCATGAGTTCTCTATTGTTTAGAAATCCAGATGTTTTTCTGAATTTCCGGGAAAGAGGAAAGGAAAATTCATCCCTATCTCTGGGAAGTTCACGATCAGCTTTCCTTCTTTTTCTCTGTTCTTATTCTCTCTTCTTTCTCCATCATGTTAGGCAAGCTCCATCTGCACTTTCTCTCCCTAACTCTCACAGTTACCTGAAGCACTTGTGAAAATGAGATTGAACTCTTTATAAGGTATGTCATCAGGCCCATTCTCCCCTTCCTGAACCGGGCTGAAGATTCATTTCCACTTTAGAACTGAGGGACCTAGGTGTTAATTACGGTTAACCTCTAGATCAGATCAGCAAACCCTGGCAAAAATCCAGTGAATAATATTGTATTTGAAGCCAAATAGATGAATAGCAGATCACTAATAATGCTGGGACTAAAACCAGCATCTCAGTGGATCAATATCACTGAGGTTTTTTTCAGACTAAACTAATTTAAAACAGACAATCGGATACCTTTTTATAACACTCAAAGACAGGAGAAGAAGAACAGGGAAGTGAGTGGCCGATTATTTGCTATACCATGTTCTTTTGTCTTCTTGCTGGCTATCCAGTATGAATTTCCTGCCTTCTTTGTTCACCTTCTCTCCCAATCACTTTAGGAAGGGCCATAGAAGACCTTCTTTGTAAATTGAGATGGTCATAAAATCTAAATCAGGTTGCAATTGACAAAGGAGCTATAAGTCAACAAGCTGAAACTATATATTAGTTAGGACTGTGCTTTGTAAATAGAAGATATTTAATCTTCATCAAGTATAAAAAGAATTAAAATAGTTAAGATGGGGGATAGGGAGGAAGAAAAGAAGAGAGGGAAGAATACTCAGAATGGCTTGGATGTTAGTAAAACTAAGCCTAGACATCAATTTACCTCCTACAAAAACCTCAGAAGAAACAGAACCTTGGTAGACAGAGAATCCAAATATCAAATAAGAAAAGCCCAGTATTTTTCCCAGTGGGATGTTAACTGAAAGTTTTTTCTTCTTCTTCTGAGGACTCTCTGTGTGTGTGTGTGTGTGTGTGTGTGTGTGTGTGCATAGAAGGAAGAGAGTTAGGGGTGCTTGCTTGTAGATCTTTGTATACAAACAGCCTCTGGGGATCCAAGGCATCAGACCCCTTCCTCTGGCTCTCAGCTCCTGAGGAAGGGAAGTTAAGGACTCACCTGTGGAACCAGGATGGCTCTCCCCGGTAGCAGCCATCATCCTTGGTGACTGCAACGCTGCCTAGAGCCATCAGGGTCCTCTGCACAGCTGCCATGTCCTTCCCTGAAAGCCAATGAAGAGGTCAAAGCCAAGTGAGGGTCAGGACCAAAGACTTCTGGAGGATGTGGTTGCATACCTATGAAAGAAGTTCTGAGAGGAGGCTGTAGATGACCACATTCAAAGAGGTACTATCAAACACTGTCCAAAGTAGCCCTATGATCACCATGCCAAATTGCCCAGAAAGGAACAAAACCTGACCTGGTTAACTACACTCTATTTACACCACAGTTACTTTCTATCCATAGTGACTATATTCCCAACACTTCAACCCAGATACACACAAGGCCCTGTCCTATGCAGAGGGCTGAGCCTGGGAAGGTTCTGCAAGCTATGTGAGGGGGAGGCCAAATGGACGGATGGATGAGCATGGTGGTCTACAGAAGAGCAAATTTTAGGACTAGAAAAAGACATTAAAGAGAAATTGATTGGACAGTGTCATTCTGAGCCAAACCCAAGTGGTCCCTTAGTTTTACTTTATCTGGGTTAAATGAGTCTGAAGTCATCCATGCTATTCACACTGAGTATTCACTTGGCTCTTTAGTCTAGAGGCCTGGCAAGTGGAGAACAACAAATCAACACTGAAAGCACTCAATGGGACACAGTGAAAGGCTCTTTATTTTGTGCTGCATGACCGGAGCTAAATGGAGACAATAAATCACAGCTTGTGTGAGAGAGAGATTCAAGGTGTACCCTACATGTGGAGGGCTCGCACTGTCACAGAGAGACCCAGGGAGAAGACACCTGGGACTATAAGTCAGCCTGCCCCTTGTCATCCTTTCTCCTCCTCTCTCTTCCAGGTGACTGGCCTGAATGAGAAAAGATGCTAATGTGTAAGTAGCCAACACTTTAGAGGCAGATTGAAAGTCTGTACAAGGCATCTCTGTGGAGTTCAAAAGCTGCAAGTTGAGGAGTTATAAAAGGAAAGGAGTCTTCAGCTCAGTAGGGAGCTGGGAAAGTTAAGAGAAAATATTCACAGGCTCTCTTTGGAAGTCCTGGTGAACCATCTGTGGTGTCTTTGGCCCTGCTGCTGCAGCTCAGTCATGGGGGAATACAGAATTACAGGGAAAAGACAGATGGAGAGTGAGAGGGGAGTATGGACTGCAATAAACAATGAAGGCTTTCAGAGGAAGTCAATTTCAGGACATCCAGAGATTCAAAGAAAGAGGACAGAGCAGGCCCTTTTCCCCCTCCTAGTTCTTGCTTTAACCACAGGCTGATGCTCAGATCCTAGGCTTTGTGCAATTGGCTGATAGGTACAAAAGCAAAATGCTGCCAGTGGGGAGTCCCTCAAGGTGATGGAAATGGACTATTTGGGTAGCAGATGGAAGAGAAAGGGTGTAAGGAATACTAAGAAATAGGAGCACAGAAATGCAGATATGAAAAGCATTTCTGTAACTGTCACTGTGAAACAGGCTGTTTTCTTTAAAAAAGAAAAAGAAATAGGACTCTAGTAATAATGTTCTGAAGGATCATGCTGAGAAGATAGGGAGGAATTGCTTTTAAGTGGCATGCTATTAAAGAGAACCTGGATCAATGACAGCACAAGAAGTTCAAGGCTAGGGTGTATCAATCAGTACTCTACTGTACACTGTTTGCACAACACACAGGAAGACTGTTTCTAATGCTTTTTTTGGGGGGGGTTGTTTTTTGATTTGGGGGGCTTTTTTTTTTTTGCAAAGACTTGGTTGGAATGGTCAGGATTTGGGCCATAATTTCTCACTGGGAAAACAGATGAAATGCAAGCTTTGAAGAATCATAGAACAAGCATCCTACCCCAATAGACACACTGAAAGAAGAAAAAAAGAAAAGAGAAAGGGCAAAGGAACCAAGTTAAGCCAGGATGAGATATCCAGAAACCTACACTTATCACCACTACCCCAACTCTCATTCCACTGAAGTAAAAAGGAAGTATCTGCAGGATTGAAGCAGAAGAAGTTGGGGAAGGAGGTATTATTTTACAAGAACAAAAATTAGAAGTTTTCCTAAGAAAAATCCTCAAGCAAGAGATTTAATAGGCACTATGGGCCAAATACTTAATACCTTGAGATCTTGACCCCGTGCATTTGGGATTTTTTTTTCTCCCCATTTATGGACAGGAAAACTAATTCTGGGAAGTTAATAGTCCCAGTGTCACCCAACAAGTAAAACAAAGGCCAAATCTAGCTTGGATGAGACAGAATGCAAAATCCACAACAGTCCAGTCTACTTGATGATCTCCTGTGGGATGGAAGAGAAAGTGTGCTTCTCAGCCAGGGCCAGTGATCAGGAATGATCCAATGCACTGGTTTCAAGTACCAGGCCAGAAGGAATGCCAGGCCAGAAGGGTCAAGGGCCCCAACCCTAAATGGCCTTTGAATGCCTTTGTCTGAAAAATTGTGCTGTATCTTTATCCAAATAAAATCAAAGAAAAGCAAAGCAGTTAGGGTCCAAGTTAATTACCATCAATTATTCTAAGTAATGTTATCACCAAATATTTACCATCTATAACAAGTTCATGTCTAGCTCCTTTTCTTGTCATGAGTAATATGTTTTCTAACTGAGCCTTTGTGGAAAAACTCCAGAACTCTCAGGCTGATGAGCTGGGAAGCAGGCCATTCTCCAGGCTGACATCTTTCCAGTTTGGAAGTATAGCTCCATATGGAGTGTTGAAAAGAAATGGCATACAAGAGGAATAGGGACTTCATGCGGAGGCTGATTTCTGTTAACAAGGGGTCAAAAATTCAAGTGAATAAAGAAGCAGGGGATTAAGGAAGATCTGTGAGGTATCCTGGGTACAAAACAACAAAAGCTAAATTGCCTTCTGAAACCTTCATAACTGTACAAAAACGGCCACATACAGACTGCTTGAAGGCATACCCTCCTGCTTCTTGGTGTATTTATGGGAGCCAGGGAAGAGGAAAGCATCTCTTCAAAAGAAGGAACTTTAAGCTCACTCCCCAGAGACTGATTTGGCAAGTCCTCAGAGTTTACATTACAATTACAATAAGCTTATTAAAATAAGCTCTCTAGGCAATTCAAAATCAGTTTGAGAAACAGGAGTTTCACTAGGTGACTTCTAAAGGAACTCAAACTATCCAGCACTGCCTGGAAGCTTAAATATGGAGATTCTGTGTTGATATTCTGAGATGATTCTCTTATAGGCAATAAACAGGCAAGCTTTGTTCTGAAGCTCTGGGTTCCTTTTTTTTTTTTTTTTAAATCACAATAGCTAGTGTGTGGCAAGTGTTAAATAGTACTTGTTAAGCAATATCTCCTTCTTTCAGAGATTCCTTCCCTAAAGTCAGAAAGTAAAAACGATCATTAGGAGGACTTTGATCCAATTTGGGAGTCAGCCCAGAGGTCTGGCAGCTCCGAATGGCTTTGTTCCCTGAAAGCCACCCTTCAATATGTTGGCAGATGCTTATGGCTCTTCAACTCAGCTTGAATACCACTGTTCAAGGCAATTCTTGTAAAACCAAGAAGAAATATAGTCCTAAAAAAAAGATCAACCGGGTGTTGACAAATTTCCAGGTGCAAGGGTAGCAGAAAGGAGATTGAGTCCTTGTGGTGATCCAAGAATAGACCACTGACCACGAGAAGGAAAGTGACGTAGGAAAGAAGAGTCAGATTTACACAAACCACCCAGAATTTTAATGTGTTGCCTGCAGTCTTATAAACCTCTAACAGTGGACTTGGAAGTTTTAGACAGAGAAGGTGGAATCTGAAAAGGTTACATACAGTACTATGCCAACTATGGGAGGGAGTATAAAGATGGGTGATTGCCAGGGCTGATATTGGGAAGAGATAAATAGATGGACCTCAGAGGATTTTACATCAGTAAAAATACTCTTTGTGATATCACAATGGTGGATAAATGTTGTTACACATTTTTCTTAACCTAGAGAATGTGTAACAACAAGAGTGGACCTTGATGGAAATGCTGTGTTCTTGGTGATGATGTGTCAATGTAGGTACATCAATTGTAATATATACACCACTCTGGCAGAGGATGTTGATAACGGGGAGGCTATGCATATGTCAGGACACAGACAGGCAGGATCTATCTGTATCTTCCTCTTGATTTTGGTGTGAGCCTAAAACTGAATATAAAAACAAGTCTTTAAAAAAACATTGCTGCTGAACTGATAGTAAATAGCTTTCTCTGTCATACCTGACAAGTCTTTGCAGAAGTCAAGGTAGCAAAGGGCTTTCACTTGACAATATAGTATTCAGTGTTTCCTACACTCACTGGAAGGAATGGTACCTGAGTGTAGCCACATACCTTAAACTACTAAGTTGCAGTTTTCAGGAGTGGAGCCAGGGTTAATGCTGGTCAAGACTGGTGAAATAGAAAGATACTTCCATGAGGGTTTTGTTCCCTTAAATTTTGTTATGGCTCCCAAGATATTATATGCATGTCTTTGAAAAGAGAAAGGAAGTCTTAAATGAGAAAGATAAAGAGAGAGACAAATGCAAGAGAGAAGTTATCTGGGTGGGAAATGTTGATCGGACATTCTTATTTCTATATTTAACGTTAAAAAAAAAAAGACCAGTTTCACAGTCAACCACTTGTTTCAGTCTCCACTTAATTGATCTTCTAAATCTTAGAGATAGGAGATTACACAAACACACACACACACACACACACACACACACACACACACACTTCTTACACTGCTTGTACTTCACTTGCAAGTGAAAAGAAAAGCACCCCAAATGCCCAAAAGTGACTGCCAGTTGTTGACAGACACTTGGGGCAAGTAAAGGTAAGGCTGCTCAGGTGGAAAAGGAGGCTGCAGGCAGCAAGCCTTTGTTGAATGTGCCTTGCAATGCCCTAAAATATTTCTCACACTAGGTGAAATGCTTTGCCTGGTTCTGCTGTTGAGGAATGGTACATGTAGTGACACTTTCCCAGAGAATAAATATATTGGAACTTTCCAGGCTCTCCACTTCCGGTGTAAACCACACCTCTCTAACTCTCAGCTGGCAAAAGAAAACAGGCATGACTAAACTACCTAATCTAG